ACCTTGGCCTCCCAAAGTGCTGGGATTACAGGAATGAACCACCGCACCCAGCCTGTTTTGCATAGTTTTTTCAACAGCTTCTGCTTGGGGGTATGCTGAATGTGCTATGCCCCGAAAATCCAGTGATATGTAAGAGAGTTTCCTGAGTTTAATCATTATTAACACATGTGAGACCACCTGAAAAGAGAAATATACAGCACACTGAGGGAAGCCAATAAATTTTGGAAAAATCCAGGAAGACAGAAAGAACAGGTAGTGACTTATTGGTCTAAACAAGTGGGGAAGAGGGTCCCACTCTGGAGCATCCTAGGAAGGCCAAAGTGAGTCAGCACAGGGCTGGACACATAGACAGAGCTGGATCATGTAAAGCCTTGTGGACCGTGCTAAATATTTTGGACAATAGTCTAATAGCAATGAGAAGCCATTGAAGGACTTTTGAGGAGGCGAGTGGCCTCACCAGACCTGCACTTTATAAATCTAATTTGGGCTGAAGTGGCGGGGGTGAGAGGCCACTTACACAGCAGCTACAATAGTCAGGCAAGAAATGGTGGTGGTCGAATGCAGGTGCAGCAGTGAGAATGAAGTCGGAAGGACAGACTCAGATGTTTGAATGGTAGAATGGGCAGAAATTGGTTGCTGGATGTGAAGGAAGAGAGAAGGGGGAAGTAAAACAATAACTCCTAGCTTATGGGCTTGGGCAACTAGGTACATACATTTTTCCAAAATAGGCTTCTTGGCCAATTGTAGGGTGAGCGAAGGAATTAGGAATGGTCGGTAGTCCCCTAGTCTACTGTTTGCAAGTCCTCCTTGACCAGCGTCTCTAGGATGGGAATGGCAGCTACTTAATAAATGTCAGTTAGTTTGAACCTTTTGTCTTCTGTGTTCCATCCTTCCCCCAGTTGTCATGAAACGTTATGGAAAATGCAAAATGCCTCTTGTTATTGGCCTAGCCAATATACACAGCAAGGTAAGAATTCTGTAGATGTAAAAGCCCCATGTGGCTCGTGGGGATCACTGACCCATTCCAGAGTATATCTTTTTTATGTTCTGAGCCAGACTTCTCTGTCTTTGGATTTCCCGCCATTTTGCACAAATGCATCATTCTTTGAGTGCCTACGATGTGCTCCGAATTTTACTTAATGTGCTGCTGACATTACCTGACTTAAACTATACAACACTGTGAAGCAGGTAGGATTGACAGTCTCATTTTACTGCTGAGGAAACTAAGGCTGAGAGATAACCTGGCCGCCCCCAGGCCATGCTCCTAGTGAATAAATGAATTAGTATTCCAACACAACTTTTCTGACATTAAAACCCGTGTTCTCACTAGCCTAAAGAGAGCACTTCTGAGGTTTAACCTTAACTGTGATATTAGGAAATGATGGAATAAATATCTGTCTACAAGAGTACTCAAGACTTTTCCATATATGTAGTTACCCTCTCCGCTAAACTGACACACACACAAATTATACCTCTCAATACATGCAGACTCCAGTTGATGTCATGACTTGCGTCCTGTAGAACTCTCTCGACTTTCTCCCGTCTTTTCCTATCCCCTCTCCCTCCCCTTCACCACTCCTTCACCAACAATATATTTTCCTGTCAAAACATATTTGGTTACATGCAGTGCAACCAAAATTGCTGCTATTAGTTTAATTGAGACAGGGTGATTATAAATAAATTACATGCAGTGCTACTGAAATTGCTGCTATTAGTCTAAATTGAGACAGGGTGATCAGTCATCACCAACTGTGATTTGATTCAGAATGTACTCCACATGGACAGCTACAGAGGCCCTGTGATCATCTGGTAGCCCAAGGGATGCGAGGCCAAATCCCCAAGAGGCTGGGCTTCAGGCCACAGAGATGTCTGACCACTGGTAACTGAGAAAGCAAAACTCCTTGCAACCTGGTTGGTGGGGGCCCCTTGCAGGCTGATAATGAACTTCTTAAAAACCAGGAGCTGGAAAGGGTCATAGTTAGAAGCCTTCCCACATGGAAGATCTGTATAGTGCATTATCTGTGTGTGTGTTCCTGTATACCAGTGTGTGAATCTCCTGCTACTTCACTAACATGATTTGAGATGGATGTTGATACTATTTTCTTTATTTCTTATTCTAAAAGAAACCCATTCTCACATTCTCATGTGAATCTCCTGCTACTTCACTAAAATGATTTGAGATGGATATTTAATACTATTTTCTTTTTTTCTTATTCTAAAAGAAACCCATTCTCACATTAGAAAACTTGAAAAGCATAAATAGTTTTCAAGAATACAACTGTTAGTGTTACTTATTTTTCCCACTACCTGGAGGTAACATTTGTTAGAGTTTGGTGTATTTCTTTAGTCATTTCATTTATATACTTACATATTTCCTCTGACCTAATTGATATATGACATAATTGATAATATCAACTGGATATACAGTATTACATTAGCTTTTATTTTCACAAGTGGAAAATCTTTAAACCACCTAGGCAAGGTACATGAAAGATAAACAATAAAGGCAAATGGGGGTAAGAATTGTTCATGGACATCTCATTCCTAGAAGCAGCATGATGAAGTGGAAATCCATGGATTGAAGGAATTCTCTTTTCTTCCTGGCTTCCTACTTCAGTGCTCAAATCTCAGCTTGCCAGCCTAGGCAGGGCCACAAAATCCAAATGGAGGTGCTAGTTCTGTAGTTTAGGGCCTTTAGGCAAATGGCTCCATGGGCTTTATATTCTTTAATTCAACACCAAAATATAGAAATGGACTTTTCTCCAAGGTGCCTTACAGGGTCAGAAGTCTACCTATTATCCTTAGGGCCTGAAGAAGGCTATTCATTACTAACTATTCAATAAGAATGGCAAGTGAGAATGACTGTAACAATCAAACCTTAATGACTGACCAATATTACATTTTTATTTTGAGCCCCAAGTATGGAGATGTGGACAAATAAATGTTCTTTGATTAGTCCAGTAGACAGGTTTCTAAAATGGTGTGTTATTGATGCTTGGAAAGTAAATCATGCTGCCCAGTTTTTTTTGTTTTTTTTGTTTTTTTTTTTTTAACCACATCATCTCAAACCAACTTATCTTCACCCAGTAGAAATGAGGCACAACAGTAGTTTTAAGTCCTCAGATTCCTAAGCTTTCTAATCTGTAATTAATGATTAAAAACCATTCAGTGCTCTAGGGAAAGGAAGAGTTATACTTTGTAATAACCGCGTCATAAAATCTTTTCTAAACAGAGTAATCACATTATTTATCTGGGATTTAGCTTTGGAGTGAAAAAAAATGTGTAGTAGTTTTACTTCACTTTTCAAGTGTGAAACATTTGGATATTTCTATTTTTCAAAATATATTCCAGGAAATAAACTAATTAACTCCTTTCCTCCCTCCCTTCCTTTCTTCCAACAAGTGTCTGTAGTTTTTTCTGTGTGCCAAAATCAATGCTGCAGATTCTCAGAAGAAATTACATTATATTACATTGCCCTCTGTGTCTTTACAATTACTGGTAGGCCCTGAGATATATATATATATATATCAGAGAGAGAGAGAGAGAGAGAGAGAAACTCTGCCAAAATAAAAATTCAACCAATCAAGCAACCAAAACAAAAAACAATATCTAAAAATCAGGGAATATTTCTCTTTTTAAAAGCTCCTTTAAACATTACACTCTGTGATATAAGCTTTTGTTTTGAATTCACTACTGCCTTGGTTTGGAGGGACAGTGGAGCAGAGAAATTGTGAGCTGAAGTGGTGGATGGCATGGCTTACTGGGAAAGGCTTGGAAGAACCACAGCAGAGTTCTACAGCAATGACATCAGTCTCTTGTCTTACTGAAATTTAGACTGCAATCAACTTTTTTTGGAAAATTGTCTTTCAATCAGTTGGAATCCCACTTCCACCCCAAACACTCAAAGACACACTTAGCCTCTTTTCACTCAGAAATGAGTGAAAAGAAATGAGCTTACAAATCACTGGGAAAAGGCTGCCTGTGAGTCAGCTTGAGAGGAGAAGCCATTATCATCTTTTTTAGGTCCTGAGACAGACTCTCAGTTAGCTAGGCCCCTGCCAGGTTGTAAAGGCTGACAATTACTGATGGTGATCTAAATCCCAGCCTCACCTCCACTATGGCTCCACTTCTCCGAACCACCATTTATTCTGGAAAGAACAGGATAATCATACTCGTCGAACTTGCAAGTTTGTTGTGAGAATTATATGTAAAATCAGTTCCTAGTACTCACAGATGGGCACAGAGTATATATTTAATAAATCGTATTTTTAAAAATTGCAAGAGCAATAAGCATGTACCTTTTTCTATCAAGAAATTAAAAGGTAGAGCTAGACACATACCTCAATCAGGAATTAAATGGATATTGTATATCTTCATCATAGACATCCATCCTATGAACTTTGCCTAATTTAGCAAGTGTGTCAGTCAGATATGCTGTAGATGAGGTTTCTTTAAGAACGGAGCATGCACATTGGAATCCACAGCAAGGAGGCTCATGCTAAATCGAAGGAGTTACTAACCAGGTGTCACTCACAATATCTGGAGAGCAGGAGAGCTTATCCTAAGTTTAACCAAGACTTTAGTTTTAGGGTATAAACAAGGGAAGGAGACATGCACTGTCATGGCTCAAGAGCCCCCGTTCAAAGCATTCACAAAGGTACCAGATCTCTTTCTATGAAGCCTTGAAAATCAGGTGTCTCTTTTCTCCTAGGGTTTTAAAGATCCTGTGTACCGTGCAAGACGGAAGCAGTTTGCTGACACTGCCTACAATTACCGCCAGTAAGTCTGCCTTGCTTGTTGCAGGGAAGAGAGAAAAACACACCCCTAGCCTGTTTCTCCCTTGCCCTCATCCAGTTGAGAATGGAAAATACCAGCTTGAAGAGTCCTGCCTTCTGTGTGTGCATGTGTTCACGTGCGTGCGTGTATGTGTGTGGGGGTGTGTTTAAACCCTCCCTTTAATAACATACGATAAAAAACGATTGCTGCTAGACAAAACAAAATTACCCACTGTGCTGGGGCCCTGCTCTCTCCCAAGCTTTGTTGTCTAATTACTCAGTGGTGTCTGCAGTAATTAGAAAAGGCCTCAGTCCTGAATAAAACAGCCTCCGGTCTTCTGCACATTAAACAGGGAAGAACGAAAGAGAATCATTTACATTCAAGAAGGAGCTGGCTGCTTTACTGAAATAATGAATCATTCAAGATTTCAGGCCAGCCAAACTTCAGCTTCCTACTTTTATCTGGTCTGACCCAGCTGTGAAGGACAATTTTAGGATTTGTTTTGTTTTGTTTTTTTTCTGTCTGAGGTTCTGTGTTCCTCTCCTACCCTATTTTAGCCGAAAGAAAATGCAAGTATCAAACATGTTTGAGAAGACAACAGCTTTGCTCTTTTGAGTCTTAAGGGACTACAGAAATGCCACCATGGGAAACAGTGTTTTGACAAGTGCCGTTATTGAGTTAAGGGATTAAGAAAAGACATACACAAGAAGAAACGTAAAAGTTGTCCAGAATGCTCATGGCATAGTACTTTGACAGCTTTGATAGAATCTCAGGGAGATGGAGAAGATGCTGGGCCTTTCTATACTGAATACAAAGTTACTTTCAACATGGAAAAACCTCCAGAAAAAGAGAGGGAAAGTTTTTTTCTGAATGACTTTTGGTAGTGGAAGGATTCAAAAATGTGCTGTCTTTGGTCAGATCTAAGCCCATCTGGGCCTTGGATCCTGCTGAGCAGGATTCACAGAAGATGGTGACCTCCCTCTCCTGACCCCACCTTTGCCCCAGCACAGTCAGGTGGACACCATCAAAGCGGGTGCAGGCAAGAGTTCTTCAGATAGTCAGCAATAACAGATCATACTTGTTATCTTCTTGCTATGTGTCTGGGGGCTTTGGTACATGCTTTGTATATATCATTTTGTTTAGCCTTAATAATAATAACTTCTCATTTTTCAGATGGGGAAATCAAAGCTTACAAAGGTTCAGTAAGTTGCCAACATCATGTAGCTAGTATGTGACATAATCAGGTTTTAAACTCAGGTTTGTTGAATTCTAAGGGTACTTTTAGCCACTCTTCTGAGTGTCTGGGGACTCCTAGAGTCTAGAAACTGCACTTCATATAATCAAGGAGGAGGTGCTTAGAAAGTACATTCACTTACTTCTGGGTTGCTGGGACTTGGGGAGAGCGAAGACAGATCCTCCTCAACCTCCTTCTCATAGAAATGTGAAACCTTATGAAGAAGAGTGAAATTGGTGAATCACCTCACAATCCTGCATGTTAATCATTTACATTGGTTATTGAAAATCATCTGTAGATGGCTGGACTCTCAGAAGTACGTTAAAATTTTTTAGTCAATTTCTCACATTTTATAGATGAATGCCAGATGATTAACTGATGTGCCAAAGGTCGTGTAGCTAGTTAAGGGTTCGCCTTTTAAAAAATTCAAAGCCTATTTCAGATCTTACTTTATCTCATGTCATTTAAGCTTTTGATGCTGTTTTTACTATGTCTTCCTTCTTCAAAATAGTCTCTAGTCTTACTAGAGTCTATTAGTCTCAAAATAGTAAATAGTCTTACTTCAGGGTCTGATATAGTTCATCCTTTTTTTTTTTTTTTTCCAGATTCTACTTTGTGAATTTGCCTACTTAAGTGTATTTGTAACCCCAAAATTGATACTCACTGTACACTTTCACAGTCATTCCCAGACTTGCACAGAGCAGGAGAAAAAATTTGATTCTACTGAGGTGTATATCTCCAACTGAGGTCCAACAAGGCAACACTCTACCTTTCTGTTTCTACCCTCATTTTGTCAACCTGTGTCCTTTACATGGTCTGTTTAGTGTCACATTTTTAACATTTTTGTGCTTTTGTTTGTGATTTGCTTTTTAACAATTGACCAAGGTCTCACTCAGTTAGGAAGCAGCAGAGTTAGAATTGAGATTCTCCTGCTTTTCCCAGGAAAGCAGGGAGTGCTGAGCCACTGCTATCAAGCTTGGGATGAGCAGCCCCAATACCTGCATGAAGGGGATACAGCTGTCACTGCTTTAGACTTCAGGGACTGGTGCTAACCAGATTAACCTGCAGAAAAGCGGAATCAGAATCTCAAATAGTTATGTTCAAGCTAAATGGAAGACTCCAGAGTGAAGCACCAAGGCTTCATCTCCTCAGGTTTTCATTTAGATGTCACCTTCTCAGCCATGCCCCTCTCTACACCCTATGTAAAAGTGAAAACCCATTCTGAAACTCTTTATACCTTTGTCCTTTTTTTCTCTGTAGCATTTCTCACCATCTAATGGAGTTGTGTTGGCTTTCTGTCTCCCTCTACTGGAAATGTGGACTTCATGAGGGCAGGGGTAATTGACTGTTTTGTCACAGTGCTCAGTTAACATTTGTTGAATGAATGAATTAATCCAAGAGACCATATAAGAGTAAAGATTCAAAATGGTGAATTGGAGGCAGAGCCAGGAATTGAGTCTAGAACCATATGGAAGACTGCTACAGCAGGTTTTGATGATATTACTGGAGTGGAGGTTGGGCTTTTAAGTTTTATCTAGGAATAGATAAAATGGATCATAGGAGCTTATATTTTTCAGCTGCAAAACAACTCAAACATAAAGGAAAGCTCTACTGGATACTATAAATGAAGAGTTTAAGGGGGGTCGTTTAGGCTCAGGCAGGTCCAGGATTCAGTGTCTCATTACTTGCCTCTCTGACTCTAGTGTCCTTTGCTTTGGCCTTGCTTTCAGACTTTGGCCTCATTTCTCTTGGAGAGGGAACCTAGCACCTCTAGGCTGATACCTCAACTCAGTTAGAGGTCCTGTCTATTTCCAACAAGGTCAACCACAGTTCTAGCATTGAGTCCACTGACTCTGATTAGGACATAGGCCCATCTGTCAGCCAGGCACAATGCAGGGGAATGAGGGATTTCAATTTGCTTAGCCTGGTCACATGCCCACTTCTGAAGGTAGGAATGGAGTCTCTCCTCACCCGAACCTCACAGACTGAGAGGGCAGAAAGGTGCTTTACTGATGAATGGGGAACAGATGTTGAGTCCCTAGAACAGCAGGTGTCAACCAGCAGAACATCTTGGTGCTCAGGATGTTACCATCTCTTGAAATTTGTGCCAGGAATAACAGATGCCTTTCTTTTAAAATTAGAATCGGTAATAATGGTAATGATCAATTATCCAATTGTTAGGATTTGTCAGTACTAATACTAGGTACTTTATACATAGTATTAGACTTAAATTTAAATAGTTACTTATGTTTAGCCCATGTAGCAGCTGCAGATTAAGGCTTAGAGATTTTTGCTGAATTGCCTGAGCCGATACAGCTAGGTAATGGCAGGGCCAAGGATTGAACAGTCTCTGTCTGTTTCCAAAGTCTATTCGTCTCCTGTATCAGTTCTTAGTCTTGATAATGGCACGTTCTTGGGCAAGAGTTTACTTGATTTTTTTTTTTTCACCATCACTGCTGGTTACCAGAAGACCTTCTGAATTTGTCTGGCTTTCAATACTTAAGCAAAATGCTATCTTTTTGCCTAATCCCTGTCACTCATCTGTAGACAATAACGAAGACTGTGCTCTAATGCGTTTGGATGAGGTACAATTCTGAAAGGGCAAGAAAGACCTAATCTGGAGCCTAATCATGATCCATAATTCTGAGATAAACAGTCTCACTTTGTCCCAGACTCTGTGTTCCTGTTAGAGAAACAGGCCTGCAGCCTAGGGAAGAGTCACTGCTCTTTGAAGTCAGGCTTTGTTTGGTTTTCATCTGTTTGTGCTGTTCAGAACACAGCTCCTTCCCAGGTGGTTTTCAAAAGGACTTTTACAACGAATGACTTTTAAACTATAGTTTGCATCAGAGTCACCTGGGGAGCTTACTAGACTCCAGATATGTGAGCCTTCCCTTCCCCAAGAGATTCAGAATCTGTGGGGCCTGGCATATGTACTTGAACAAGCTCAGTGTAGAGAAGGTGTAAGGCATTTTATACCTTAGCATGGATTTATAAAATTTTCTCTCCTTTGTTCCAATATTTATTATCCTTGATCTAGAACTTATTTATTTATTTAGTTTTTTTAATTGACAAATAAAAATTGTGTATATTTATGGTGTACAACATGATGTTTTGATATATGTATACAATGTGGAATCTTACTTAGCCTGTATTTAAATACCTTTATAACTTCGCAGGAGAAGAAATATCAAACCCAATAAGTGCATGCCTACCAAACAAAGGGGATCTCAGATTCGTGGCCTACATATTAAATCCAGTTCAGCTCACTGGTATAATTGCTTTAGTTAACACCATAAAAATACACTATTTTGCTTTAACTGGACTTAGATGCCCGGGTTTAGAAAGGCAATGCATTCACCAGCTGGCCACCATTCTCCTTATTGCCTTATTTCTGAAACTTTACACGTTTGTGATACCTGACTGGCCCGTGCAGGTAAGTGAATTTCCACCCTAGGTAAGCAGTTAGAGAATTGGAAGAGTAGAAAAACCAAGTGATTTCCTGAATGTGAGAGCAAATCCTCAATGCAGCCTGTATCATTGCTTAATCAAAGTGGTTAACCATTGCTTAGCCAATTTCATGTGGGAAATCAAAACAGTAATTTTCCTGTATCAAGATGTGTAATTTTTCTCTTTCAAATAATGTATGAAATTCACTGGAGCAAGTGATGGCAGCTCACAGGTTCTGGCCTCTGACTCCCTCTGCTAACCTAACCTGCATTCTGCTGTGCCCTTGCCCTGCTTGAGACACCTATTTTTGTCTGTATTCTAGTGGGCAGCCCATCCCTCGAGTGGAATACACAGAGGAAGAAAAGAAAACCTGGGGTACAGTGTTCAAGACTCTGAAGTCCTTGTATAAAACCCATGCTTGCTATGAGTACAATCACATTTTTCCACTTCTTGAAAAGTACTGTGGCTTCCGTGAAGATAATATTCCCCAGCTGGAAGACGTTTCTCAATTTCTGCAGAGTAAGTCCACATGAGGGTCAATGACCCTGCAGAAAGTGGGGGGAGGATTGAAGCAGAGGAGAGGGAAGGGGAAGACGTATGTGGAGGCGAGTATGAAAGCATGTGATTGTAGAAATGCATGCAGGTTGATTCCTCCAGGAAGAACTCAGTTTCACTGTGCTCTACCTTCCCTCCAGTCTCTACTGTGTTTATCCACTTTCATTCAATCAAACACCTGAGGCTGTGGATTTTGCTGTGTACATGTCCCTGAAAAGTATTTTCTTTCACACTTAAAGCCCAAGCTGTTTCACTGAGTTTTTTGTTTTTTGTTTTTTCCCTGTAGCTCCTGCTGTGTTATGAGTTAGGAGTGTGTGTTTGTGTAAGAAATGTGCTATTTTTGGGGATGGTGCCAAGAGCCCTGAGCTCTGAGTCTGTGCATCTGGTATGAATCCTGCCTTTGACACCCTCCAGCTGAGTAAACCTGCCTCAGTTTTGTCATCTGTCAAATGGACACTGTATCAACGCTTTAGCTTTTCCCATAGGGAAATTACGAGAATGAAGTAAGATGCTGCATATGAAAATACTCAGCACAGTCTTGCATACACAGCAGGTATTCAGTGAATTTGGACTGAATTGAAACCTGAGTAGCTCAATAGGTAAATACATTGAGTTGCAGGCCTCTCCATACAGTATATATTCAGGGGGAAATAGGTGTTACTCTTTCTGCTAAGAGGATGTTAATTTAGCAAAAACAAAACAATGAACTAACACATATTGAACACCTACTGTGTGCCAGGTAGAATAAGCAAAAGTAGGGAGACAGACTACAGGTTACAAAAGTTTCTATATATCAGAGCTGTGCAGAGATGAGCCACTCTGGGGACAATGAGCCAGGGAAATTACTTGGCAGGAAGGGAAGTTGTAGCCAGGACAGATCGGGGGTGAGCTCGATGACCTTTTGGGTCCCTTCCATTAGAAAGTCTTTGCTTCTTAGATAAAGAGTGGAGTAAGGGTCCAAGCAGAGTGTACTTCAGCCTGAAGACACAGAGAACAGGGGGCAAGAGGCAAGGAGATCTCAAAGACTTCTTTAGCTAATTACTCCCATTGCCATGGCCAATAATAAGAGTAATAAAACAGTAATACTAGCAGTTGGGAAGCTACATAATAGTAATTAAGAGAACAGACTTTGAAGCTAGACTACCTATGGCTGTGACCTTGAATGAAACCTTTAACCTATCTCTGTCTCAGCTTTCCCATCTGTAAAGTGGGCATAATAAGAGTGTCTACTTCATAGGGCTATTGTGGGGATTAGTAGCACACATAAAGTAGCTTAAAAGAGTGTCTTACATACAGTAGGTAATATATAGTGTTAGCTATTTTTACCATTATCACTGTCATTGTCCTTATCCTTTAAAGTTTGGAACAAATTGAGAGACAGATACATAGAGATGGTGATCAGAGGTCAACTTTAAAATTGAGCGATTTAGAGAATGTGATATAGATGTGCACACAGATGGACTTGCTAATATTTTACCCCTTAATTAGGTAAACTTACCTGGCAATTCATGCAGCACAGTCCATTGCATGGCCAAGAGCAGACTGGAATGAGGTCCTCTGTGAGCAATCAAAAGAGAAAGAGCAGTACAGAAAGAGTTAAATTGATAATATTCATATTTTCTTCCCAAATGCTCCAGTCAGACAGGTCACTGCTACTCATGGGGTGGACTGTGTGAGGTGCAGGACAGAAGCTGGAAGCACTCTATCCATACTCTTACCTTCTGGGAAATGAGGTACAAATTCCCTTTTCACTCTAGAAGCAGGAGAAGTAGGGAATAATTGTTCCACCCTAACAAATGGTAATGAAAGCTAAATTTATTGCATGTTTCCAATGTGCTAGACTCTGTGCTAAGTACTTTATATTCATTAGCTCTTTTTATTCTTCAAACATCTCTAAGAAGTATCTGTCTACATTATGCAGATGAGGAAACTGAGGCTCAGAAATGTGAATTTACTTGATCAGATCACCTAGCTAGAAAGCAGCGAGGCAGACATCTGAAGCCAAGTTTGCCTAGCATCAAAGCCTATGTCCCTGGGCAGTTATGTGTGCTACTCCACTACCTGAAGGTCTCCTAGTGCCTCTGGCTCAGTGGTGAAGAGCTTTGAGTTTTCTTTCTTCTTTGCATCCCAGCTTGCACTGGTTTCCGCCTCCGACCTGTGGCTGGCCTGCTTTCCTCTCGGGATTTCTTGGGTGGCCTGGCCTTCCGAGTTTTCCACTGCACACAGTACATCAGACATGGATCCAAGCCCATGTACACCCCCGAACCGTGAGTACTGTCCTCCAGCTACTAGTTGCCAGGCACAATGAGCACCATCTTTTCCTGCTGCAAGAATGAGATTTGGGTTCATTACTGGCTGGTCCATAGGACTAGTTGTCTAGACTGTTTGCTGATAGTACTAAAAACAACTCATCTATTCTGGAGATTTTCTCCATCCAAGTAGATAGACCAGACTGATTAGAGATTTGGGCATCCTGTGATCCAATAACTCAGAACTCCCTTGGCAGTGAGAATGAGAGATCCCAATCAAGTTCCAAAGTCAAAGCTATGAAGTTGCAAATGAGAACAGGAACAAGTGGCAGCCAAGCTATCTCAATACCTCCTAAGTATACATCTAGATTACTCTTATCTTTCTTTGCCTAGATTGTGTATTGGGTAGAGGGAGAGAATGGCAGCCATTATGCTTCTTACTTGGGTGTTTAGTTATCCCCTTAGTCTGATAAAACTTATGCAACTTATAAAAAATTCAGTAGAACATCCAAAATTATTTTTCCTTGCCCATAAAGTTCATTGCTACAAATCCAAAAAGGCCTGTTCCAAATGGACATAGCACATAAAATATTAAGTAAAGGTAGGTTTTCTTCCCTCACTGCTGTCCACCTCCAGACTAAGAGAAGAGCAGCACTGTTTTTGTTTTAGTTCCCAGTGGAATAGCTGAGCATATTGTATCTGCCCAGGGAAGTCAATACCAGGGAGAAGACAGGATGAGAAGTGTTCATGACTCATAGCTTGCTTAGGTATATGGGAGCATGTCCACAGAAATATTAGCTCTTCTGCCCTGTACCCCACTGGGCATACTCCTAAGACCCTTGGCTGCTGTGCCCTGCCCTGTACCTGTCTCTTATTTTTCCTTCCTTTTCTTCTTTTTATCTTTTACCTTGCCTTTTCTGATCCCAACCTCTGCATATCAGTTATTCCTGGGAGAGAGATTATAAGCCTAAAAGAGTTATTTCCATTCTTTCTACCCATTCCTCACATGGAAAGACTGAGTCTGGCTTGGCTTAAACCTCCTCCCCTCCAAGCTCTCTGTGCTTTCTGTCTTTCAGTGACATCTGCCATGAGCTGTTGGGACATGTGCCCTTGTTTTCAGATCGCAGCTTTGCCCAGTTTTCCCAGGTAAAGAATGGATTTTTTAGCTTTCTAATTATAGGTCTGTGACCTGAATTTCTCAAATGAGTTGAGCCCAGGGAGGGGCCCTCATGCCCTCTGCAAGAGTGGAAACCAGGTACAGTTCTATGATCCCATCTGAAATGGGTGAGTGGTTCTGGGAAGCTAAATACCCATTTCAGAGATCAAGCATGGTGTTGGTGCATCACTCATCCTCTGAATCGTATGTGTGTTCTTCAATGTACTAATCTCATTTTTCCTGCTAGAGCCTTTCGTCCATGAAAGCCTCCCTGATGCCCATGCAGGAACTACCTCACCTTCTTCCAGTGTCTTAGTGGATTCCCCTCACCTTTTCAGGGCCATTGTAACTTTCTGCCTTGTCAGGCAGTTATTTGTGTATATGCTTGAATTAAGTGAGATGACATTTGCCAAGAATTCAATGCTGAAACCCTGACTTACAGTTAACAAAGAAATAAAAATGAGCTGAATATCTTATCACCATCATCAAAGCTGCAACCCTGCAACCTAGAATTTCATTCATCTTTCACAGTGGTTAACAAGCTCAAAAAAAAAAAAAAGCTTTTTTTTTTTTTTAAATTTTTTTATTTTTATGGCAGGGTCTCACTCTGTCACCCAGGCTGGATTAGAGTGCAGTGGAGTAATCATGGTTCACTGCAGCCTCAGTCTTCTGGGCTCAAGCAGTCCTCCCACCTCAGCCTCCTGAGTGACTGGGACTACAAGCACGTGCTTTCATGCCTGGCTGAATTTTTTAATTTTTGTAGAGACAGAGTCTCACTGTGTTGCCCAGGCTGACCTCAAACTCTTGACCTCAATCCTCCCACCTCAGCCTCCCAAAGTGAGAAGATTACAGGCAAGAGTCACCACACCTGGCCAAAAAAGAAAGTTTTGGGCTGAGTAAAATAATTCTACTAATTCTCTCCAGGCACTGAGAGGCAGCCTGAAACCATGGTTTGGTAGCTGGGATCATGAGAAGGTTGAATGGTGTTCTGATGTACCAAGGCTCCAACCCTGCCACTAACCAGTTGTATGACCTGGGGTTACATTATCAGCCACCCTGTGCCTCCTTTTTAATAAATGTGGATCAGTCAAAAGCCCTCTCCACCAGCCAGCTTCGTCACAAAGAAGCATGAGAATCAAATGGAATGACCTATGAGCAAATGCTGAGCCAAGTATTGGGATTTCAGAATAATGGGATCATGTGTGAATTTAATGGGCATTTTCCCTTAGCTGAAAGAAATAAACATTCCCACGGTCAAATAAAGAAGCTACCAGTAAATATTTGAAACAAACAAACAAAAAACTGGAATTTATTGCTTGCTAAGTGAGGGAAAACTGTACTTGTAAGATGCAGCCTCTCTAAACAAAAGGAAAAATTACTTTTATGTGAGGTTTGAGGAATTATGGAGTTCAAAGATTGTTGGACTTTTGGAAGTGGGACTGTTTAGGGATTAGTTGAACTTTAACTGTAGAAGGATCACCAATGACATTCAGAAGTGTGGTTAGGCTGCCAAGATATCTTTGATTGCTTGGGACAGTTTTAAAATCTGAATTTGTTACTATGGCCCCAAAACAATCAGTTTTTCCTTGAAGAATAGGAAACTTTTATTCTTACCACCAGAAGCTAGTTTATGAAGTCAGAGGCTAAGTGGCAGTCCTTCTTAAGCCATTTCCACTTGGGGAACCCCACAGAAGAGTGGATGGTTACTCAAGTCAACAAACAGGGGCTCCTGGGGCATCAGTGTCATATGGTTCCAATTTTGATCTGGATGGTCCCAAGGCAGTGAGACGTGTTGAAAGTTTCCTGAGAACATTCCTTGTTAAACAGAGGAAGGACTTGCTTCCCACTACAGTACAGGATGGAGTGGAACTGAAGCACAGGGATGTTGGGCCCCTTGTTGTAGACAAGCTCTAGGCTCACAAAGAATGGTGACTAAGAGAACAAGGCGCCATTTTGGTCTTGGATTTATCAGTGGTTTCTAGTTGAATTGAGACTGTGGTATGTCTGGGCGGGTGGATGGATTGGAGATGGCTGAGGGTCAGGAGAGCAGATCCAGGCTAAGAATTTGAATTCAGTTCACTCTAAATCAGAAAGCATTTTATAAGCCTAATCCAAACCAGGCTCTGGACTTGGCCCAGGGAGTGATACAGAGATATAGACCATGTAGCTTCTTGCTTCAAAGTGAGTCTAATCATAGTCTTCATCTCTGTCTACATCCACTCCTCTGGTGATCTCACTCAATTTCATTGCTTTAAATACCATCTCTACTCTGATGATGGACACATTTATATCTCCAGCCAAGACTTCCATCCCAAAATTCAGACTTACATATTGAACTGCCTATTCAACATCTCCCCTTGGATGTCTATAAGAAATCTCTATCATACTGTCCAAAACTGAGTTATGGATCTTCCTTCGCAAACCTTCTCCAGGATAGCTTTTTCTCTATCAGTTCACAGGAACTCCACCCTTCCAGCTGATCAAACCATAAGTACTTTGGGACATTACCAGCTCCTTTCTCTTTAACCCCACGACAAATCTTTCAGAAAATCCTGTGTTTTCTACCTTCAAAATATGTGTAGAGTCTGACCATTTCAATTATGTCTACTGCTACCAACTTGGTCTCAGCCACTATCATTTCTCATCCTGGTGACTGCAGTAGCCTCCTCATTGGCCCCGTCTAGTGGTCTCTACCCTGGCCTCCTCCAGTCTCCTGGTGTCCCATTTACCCTCAACCTCTCCAGTGTCCTGGTGTCCCATCTACACTCAGCCTCTCCAGTCTCCTGGTGTCCTGTTTACCATCTACCTCTCCAGTCTCCTGGTGTCCTGTTTACCATCCACCTCTCCAGTCTCCTGATGTCCTGTTTACCCTCCACCTCTCAAGTCTCCTGGTGTCCTGTCTATACTCAGCCTCTCCAGTCTCCTGGTCACCTGTCTACCTGTCATCTCTCCAGTCTCCTGGTGTCCTGTCTACCCTCTGCCTCTCCAGTGTCCTGTCTACCCTCCACCTCTCCAGTCTCCTGGTTCCTGTCTACCTTCCATGTCTCCAGTGGCCTGGTGTCCTGTTTACCCTCAACCTCTCCAGTGTCCTGGTGTCCCGTCTACACTCAGCCTCTCCAGTCTCCTGGTGTCCTGTCTACCCACCACCTCTCCAGTGTCCTGGTGTCCTGTCTACACTCAGCCTCTCCAGTGTCCTGGTGCCCTGTCTACCCTCCACATCTCCAGTCTCCTGGTGTCCTGTCTACCCTCAGCCCCTTCAGTCTCCTGGTTCCCTGTCTACCATCCAGTCTCCTGGTGTCCTGCCTCTACCCTCAACTCCTACCATCTATTCTCACATAGCAGCCAGAAGGAGTACTTATAACACAAGTGAGATCATGACCTTCTATCTGCTCATTACCATGCAATGGCTCCTGTTTCACTGAAAGGAAAAGCTCAAGCCCTAAAATGTCTAAAAATATTCTACATGATCTGGCTTTGGACCCCTCTTTGATATCACCTGCCACTGCCCCCTCACTAATCCTGCTCTAGCCACATTGGTTCCTCCCTGTTTCTTGACCCAAACAACACTTCCTTTTCTTGGGAAAGAAATGCAAGCTTTTGCACTGGCTATATGCTTGGCCTACAGTGTTCTTCCCTCAGATGTCAGTATAACCAACAACCCCACTTCCTTCAAGTCTGTGCACAAATATCACCTTCTCAACGATGCTTACCCTGGAACCCTATTTAAAATCGAAGCCTCCTCTCAATCCCCTGGAGCTCTTAGTCCCTCTTGTTTATTTCTTCTTTTGTTTCTTCTTTCCAAAGAACTTGTATTCTTCTAAATAGTTATGTATATGTTCATTATTTATTGTCTGTCTCCACTAGAATTCACAAGATGCCTTTACTGATTTTATACACTGCCTGGCACATCGAATGAACTTAATATTTCAAGAGTGCATTAATGTATACAGTAAGAAAGACACATACACACAAGGCAGGCTGCAGTAAGTGCTGTAAAAGAGACAAAGAGACCAATAGAGGAATTCTGCAACAGAAGCTGTGGTGAGAATTAATCGATGACGTGTTAGACTCTCCAGTTATATGTATGCCTGGACCGATGTCACTACTTATCTGCAGTTCTCCTGTGAAGTTTCCAGGGTACATGATTAAGACTCATTTAACACTCCAGGAATGTTCTGCTGATGAATAATCACTGAGCTGGAGTCAAGAGAAGAAGCTTTAGATACTAACCAACCCTGTGACCATGAGCAAGTCACTTCCCGGCTCTGTGCCTCAGTTTCCTCACTTATAAAGTGAAAACAAAGGACTAAGTGAGGGTGAAAGGGTCTCCCTGCCCTGGAGATCTGTGATTCTATAACATGTGGGCAGGAAAGACTTGACACCATACTCAGGGTCCATGTGGGCCGTTCTGAAGGCATCTGGCCACCCATCACCTTTTTATGGCCAAGTACCAGGTTGGCCCTAGGGGTGAATGTTAAAGACGGCCAGACACCAGCTACTCCAGTGACTCTGTTTTCCCCCAATTACAGGAAATTGGCCTTGCCTCTCTGGGTGCACCTGATGAGTACATTGAAAAGCTCGCTACAGTAAGTCCCTTCTCTCCTTGGGTGGATGCTGGGAGTGCTATAGGCTATGGCCCTCAGGTCTTTGAAGCTTTGTTACTCCCCTGGAAGCCAGGTTATCTGGGGAAAAAAAATCAGAATGTGGTGGATTACATTTGCACAAGTGAAACTTCACATTTTGATTGATTTCTCCTTAATAATTTGATTTTGAAATCAGCTACCTGCAGATGTTTACATCTCTTAAATTTTAAGCGGTATCTTGAACCCACCAACAGGCTATAACAGTAACCCTTGAAAACCTTTGGCATAAAGTGTGTGTATGAAGTAATCTAGATCCAGAACTTTGAAGAGGGAATGTTTACATCTCTACTTTCACACCAGAGCATGCATTAGGATTTTTTCTTTCTCAGATACGAGGGAGAAACAGGGGTGGGCTTTCCCGTTATTGCTGAACACTTTCCTCTCCTGAGTATATTTGATGACACTTGTCCACTGGGGCTATAGAAGCAGCAATTCTGCATAGCAGGTGATTTCCTTCCTTCATACTCATTTCTAATTTTACTACATCCCACCCCAGCCACTAGCCACATTGCCTGTGCTGGAAGTTGAAAAATAAACGTTGATAATTGAATTATGGACTGCCAGTGAGTGCAAATCTATTATTAAGATATATCAGTTTTAGAAGCTTATGAACTCGTTCCGTCAGAAAGGCTAAAAACTCCCAGAAGGTTGTTTTCTCACTGACAGCTGCTTTTAGGCCCTGGACAAGCGGCTTTTTCTTCCTCATCTCTAAAAATGAAATGCAATAGCTCATATCTTGCCTATCTCAAAAGCAACTAAAAATTTAACTATTTAAATTTAATTATTTAAATTTTTGTGAACATGGGTTTTTAAATGCCAGAGGCTTCAGAGATACAAGGAGTGGCTTTCAAAGAAGCTACAGAGCTGGATAGAATTTCTCATTTCTACAAAGAAAATAAATTTGGAACTCAAAGCATCATGTTATCTACCATAACAATATTAAAATGACTTATCACCAGTTCGACTTCCCAAAAAAATTGTTACTGATTGGAAAAATGTTACTGGTTGGTTGGGGAACAGTTCTGGATTCTTGCTGCCCTTAATTTGCTGTGTAACTACACGCATGTTGCCTTACCTTCCTGGGCTGAAGACTCCTCACTTGTATGTGAGGAGGTCAGACTGACTGAGCTCTGAGAGCCCTCCCAGGTTGAATTATTCTAGTCCAATAAACAGATGTAACTAATAACCTGCCCCTAATTCTCCAAAACTGTGACTGTCTCTAGCAGCTAACTGAGCTCTGGGTTCCTCTTAGTCCCAGAACTCCCATATTCTTTTTTTCAGGCCAACTCTCTAGGACATATTGGACTGTGGGTTATTGAAAGAAAAATACTTGGTTATTTGGGGAGATAAATGCAGTAGTTGACTTCAGAAACACCCCGAAGTTTTAGCATAGATGATGGGATATTCTCCTCATTGATTCTATCACTACCTAATCTGCTACCTCCCACTGTTGTGCCTGATGAGCTCTACTAGCTTCAGAGCATCTGAGGAACATCTCCGTCTAGTTGACACCACAGACAAAAGAGATAGAAGAGTTCCTGTCATATGGAGAACAAATTGTTGGAGGTCTCCTTTTGGGGCTTCTTAGTACCACCTGATATTTTTCATCACTCTTTACATTCAGCCAACATTCGATTCAACAGGTGACCGGATAGAGTGAGACACAGGACACACAGACATGATCACAGGTCATGCTGATTTAGAGAACAAACCTGCACAGGCTCCTACCTGGGCAATCTTGTCCGTGGCACTGGGGCAGTTGCTGCCTTCTCCTTCTTTGGGATGTGTACTAGTCAAGGATCTCCAGAGAAAAAGAACCAGTGAGATGTATAGAGGGAGAGATAAAGAGAGAGAGGGAAATCTGAGATGGGACTTATTAGGGAAACTGGCTTACACAGTTATCGAGACTGAGAGGTCCCACAATATGCTGGCTGCAAGCTGGAGAACTTGAAAAGTCAGTGGGGTAGATTATTCAAAGTTCAAAAGCCTCAGACTCATGGAAGTTGATGGTATAACTCTCAGTCTGAGACCAAAGGCCTGAGAACTCCTGGGTGGTGATGAGGTGCGAGTCCCAGAGTCCACAGGCCAGAAAGCCTGGAGTTCTGATGTCCAAGGGCAGGAGAAACAGGGTATCCTGGTTCTAAGAGGGATAGAATATGAATGTGGCTTTCCTCTGCCTTTTTCTTCCATCTTGGATTCCAACCCATTGGGTGGTTCCCACCCACATTGAGGAAAGATCTTCCCCACTCATTCCACTGGCTCAATGCCAATCCCCTCCAGAAACACCCTCATAGACACACCCCAAAATAATGCTTTACTAGCTATCCAGGTATCCCTTCATTCATTCAAGGTGACACATAAAATTAACCATCACAGTGTGCTCTCAGATTGACTTTCCATTCCAGATTTACTGGTTTACTGTGGAATTTGGGCTCTGCAAACAAGGAGACTCCATAAAGGCATATGGTGCTGGGCTCCTGTCATCCTTTGGTGAATTACAGGTATGACCTTAACAAGGAACCAAGGATGGATTTAAAAGTGGTGGGTACAGAAAACCATTATTGTGCTTTCGATATTGTTGAAACCCTATTTGTATCCATTTTGACATGCAACCTGGGTACTCATTCAGTGATTGGTACCTTAGCAGCTATGATTTGATTATGGCTGTGGGTGTTACAGATAGAAATGGAATTGCAAGTACACGTATCTCTGGGGAGAAAGGGCCTCCTGATTCCAAGACTGACCTATGCATGCAGCCTTGTGAGTATGCAAACACATGCCAGAAAGTGTGGTTGGCTCCCACATCATCTATTGACCACCTTACTTGAAAGTAATTGGAATGAATTACTCCTTTCTCCCTTGGCTGTAGGTTTTAGATGAGCTATGAAGGGTAGAACCTAGTATGTGCAAAGTAATTTGGCTCACTGCATTTGGGCCGTGATATAGAAGGAATCGGGGTGAGATGAGAGAAGGGGCACAAATGGCCTCTGGGATGCAGTAGGGAATACTGATCCTTATTTAACAGTGATAATAACTTGTCACTTGGGGTCTACAGTACTGCTTATCAGACAAGCCAAAGCTCCTTCCCCTGGAGCTGGAGAAGACAGCCATCCAAAAGTACACTGTTACGGAGTTCCAGCCCCTGTATTATGTGGCGGAGAGTTTTAATGATGCCAAGGAGAAAGTAAGGTGAGGTGGTGACAAAGGTGAGCCACTAGCTCTGGGGGCCTCCTGGCTGGTGGCACTCATCTGTGGGTGGTTGGCCAGGAGAGTGGACTCCAATGCCTACTGCAACTTTGTACCATAGACAGTTTCTCTCCCATGTTCTCCACCGTCCCTCCTTTTTTTCTGCTCTCCGTTGGAAGGTTGGGCGTGCTGACCTTTGCACACACCCCTGCCACCCGGTCCCTGTTCAACGCAACCACCAAGTCCAGATACTGAACCCTCCTGCATACAGAGAGGCCACAGAAGTCTCCCCACAAAATCAAAGAAGTCTTATAACCTAGGAAGTCCTTTCATCACTTCCTTCTCCCAAACACCTACAAAACGTGCTTCCTCCTTTGTATCTTTACCCAAATTTAATCTCCATATGTCTTTCTCTAACCAACTTATTTCTACTCATCCCTGCCAAGTATTACAGTGCTTCTGTAATACTTATTAACTTGTAATATATTACATAAGGTAAGCTCTATGAGGGTAGAAATTTTGTTCTTTCTATTTTCTGTTTTTCCTCCGGCCCCTAGAACAATACCTGACACAGAGTAAGCACTCAATAAATAATTGGTGAAGGCATTAATCTCAGAGGCAGTTCAGCAAGAGGCTGATGGAGCGGTGCTGGGACTCTGAGACTATTGGCCCTCTGAGTGCACAGTTCCTGCACCCAAGCAGGAGACAGACTGGGCAGAGGGTCAACCTGGACACGGATATCCTAATACTCATTGTATGTTACCACTTAAAAAAATCTTATCAGTGATGGATGACAGGCATGGGACATACGGGCCTTTGAGAGTCTATGAAGCTGAGTATGTTAGCTTTCAACCCTATCTATGGACTCTGAGAGGTTGGAGGAATGGCGGGGAGTGGTGGTAGAATTAATGACTTCTCAAAGAAATTCACACTTTTGAAAAGAGAGACATGAGGGAGAAACTCAAAGTCACAAATGAACATACATCTTAATTCTTCCTTTCTAAATCCAAATTCCATCCTCCCCAGGCCCCTCACAAGGAAAGATGAAAATTATCCCTTTGACACAACTCACTCACTTACCTTATATTTGCAAGGTAAGATTGTGGGATAAGACAGGTCCAGCTAACATTTGTTTGAGAATCCTTTGGAATAAAGAGACCTTAAAGAGGACTAAGTTTCTTTCTTTTAAAATAGATATTCCTTAAATTATGTCTACTTCTATCTTTAGATAATTAAAGGTAAAATGCTGGCCCACAAATCTACTTGGTTTGGCCTAAAATGACTATGTCTCCAGCTCTGTCCAGAGCTCTCAGGTCCTTCCTGCTCTGCTTTCTTAGTTCTCTCCTAAACTGGAAGCCTAGACACTTTCCAGCACCATCCTCCTCTTCCTCCATGGCCCAAGGTTTGGACCCAGGCATTGGGGCTTGGAGGCAGTGCTGATGAGCACCCTGTCATACCAAGATAATATTTGGATGAGCCCTCCTGGACACAGCTCTCTAATCAGCATGTGATCGGTCCCAGACCAGCAGGGAAGAGCTTGCCAGGACACAGGCCTGTCAGTACCAAGGCCTCAAGGGAAACAACCATGAAAACTCCATTCTGCTGAGAAGTGGTTCAGAGAGTCAAAGAGAATGCTAAAGGACAGGCTTCAAAACAAGGAATCTGTGCATCCCTTTGGATTCTCTCAGAGCGTCCCAGCCAAGAGCAACCAATTCTAACCACTTGGAATTTCAAGATTCAAATTGTAGGCAGAGACGTGATTGGCTGAGCAGGGTTCACATGCTACCTCTTCGCCAGAGGATGGCTGGCACCAAATACTGACTTCTGGACTGATACACACCTAGTAGGGTAGGAGTAAATCACCCAAAGCAAAAAATGAGCTGCTTTATGGGAAGAAGGAGGAAGAGGTGCAGAGCAGGCAAAATTACAGATGTGTAACACATGGCTCATGCCACTAGCCGGACTGAGACCGCTCTTTTCAGAGAAGAAGAGGTGGAAATACATACTTGGCCATTTGTTCTTCATTAAAGGTAGCAACTAACACTGATGGGGCACTTACTCCATAGTATAACAGCACTTGCTGCAACCCCCTGGGGCAGCTATTACTCTTGCCCCGATTTTACAGAGGAAATTGGGTACAGAAGAGTGGTCCCCTGTGCCCACGGTCACAAGGACTGTAATAGACAGAGGCAGGGTTTCAGCCTAGGCAGCTTGACTTGGAACTTGGGGAGCCACTCTTGCCAAACTTGGAGGTCCCTACTGTCTCCTGTAACACTGTATTTTCAGTACGGCAGCTTATATGTTCACCAGAGGCCAACTTAGAAATTTGTGATTACTTTGGAACATCTTGTTATTGGTATTGCATGATGTCCCTCATAGAGGCCCTCATGGTGGATTTCTCCCAGATCCAGGAGTAAGGTATTGGAAAGGCAAGAAAGCAAAGGGTCCAGGCCAGAGTCAGACTGCCTGGGTTCCTTCCCAGTTAGTTAACTTACTGACGGTATTGCCTTAGTAGTCACGTAGCCTTCCCAAGCCTGTTTCCTCATCCATAAAATGGGTATGGTAATGGTGCCTTTCTGCTAAGGTTTTTGTGAAGCTTAAATAAGAAGGATATTTGTAAAAAGCATTGGGCAGTTAGAACTTAACATAGTTCTTGGTACATAGAAGGTGCTTTCTTCACCACTTGAGAGCCATTTCCCTCTGCATTGACTGTCAAGCATTTCAGAGGTTTTTTTTTTTTTTTCTATATATAGCATTCTTTAGCTAGATTTTACTCACTCTTGATTTTATTTAATGATAGGAGTTTGTGGCTTTATTGTATTCAGTGCTTTCACTGTAAGCTACCTCTGTCTTCTTGGAGCTAAGTGACTAAATATGTGTATATACGTGTTTGTACATACACATACACACAAGAAGGCTTCCCAAGAAGACTCACTAAAACTCCATTCCCCTCCTCAGCCCTGGCTGTTGAAGACCGTGTTCTAGGGAGGTGTCCGTATTCCTAAAAGAGAAGTAAAATGTCACTGAGAATTCTCTTAAGAGTACCTTTCTCCAAATGGTGCCCTTCACTCAAGCCTGTGGTTTTGGTTTTAGGAACTTTGCTGCCACAATCCCTCGGCCCTTCTCAGTTCGCTATGACCCATACACCCAAAGGATTGAGGTCTTGGACAATACCCAGCAGCTTAAGATTTTGGCTGATTCCATTAACAGTAAGTAATTTACACCTTACAAGGCCACTCTGTTTCTCAGTAATAGAAGACTGTGTTTCCTTACCATTGCCATAGGAAAAATAAGAAATTTATTGAAATATTTAATTAAGGAGAAAAGCATCTCCATTTAAGCCATGGGTTCACTGATGGAGAAGAGCTTGACAAAAAGATAGGAATTACCTTTGTGTCCTTTTTCCTTTGACCTTCCTAGATTCCACTCCACCTCCCACCATCATTCTACCTTTCCACACTTAGCCTGTCACCGCCATGTTCCTTTTTCTCCTTCACCTCTCCATCCCTTCTACGCAAAGTGACCAGCTGGTATCACTCTTCCTGGTTCTATCCACTTTATAAGCTGTCCAGTGGCTCATCTGTTGACCTTCCACTCTTCTTTCGTAATGAGAATATTATAATAATTGCTCTTAAGAATGTCACAGGGTTACTTCATTTATCACCTGATTATCTCTCTAGCCCTTCACATTCTCTTCCAGCAACAGTGATCAACTTTTAGTTCTCATGCTCTTTCCTGACTCCTAACTCTTGCCCATGCAGTTCTTTATGTTTAAAATATTCTCCTTCCCATTCTCATTTACTTGGTATGTGAGAACATGGCATAAATGGAAGGCTGCCTCACACCTTCATCCAGTGATCTTGCCATCTAAATTGAGTTATCTGCTTAAACCATGGATTCTAAAATTTGAATGTGCATCAGAATCAAATGAAAAGCTAGCTAAAAATTAATAGCTTTGAGTCATAGCCAAGGCTAAATTTACCAAATCTGTGATAACTCTTGGGAGTTTATAGACCTCAGGTGATTCTGACACTTGAGTTTTGTGTGAACTATACTATTAGGTTCAATGATTTTGCTTCCTGAAGCATCTGTAGATGGTAATGTAAAAGAGGAATGGAACGGCTAATAATTTGCCTGGGGAGAGACCTGTTAAGTCCTTCCCTGGGAAGTGACCTATGGAAAAGGGATGCTGATTACATTAATGGCTCTGGCATTTTCTAAAACATGCAAGTACTTATACCATAATGAAAGCTCCTTGAAAGTTGGGGTGGTATCCAGCTTATCCAAGAAGCCCACTTATCCCCCAGTGCTTTGCACTGTGGATACTTGAAGAGTGTTTGTTTATTATATGAGTGGCCCATTTTGAGGGTGTTTTTCTTTGTAGGTGAAATTGGAATCCTTTGCAGTGCCCTCCAGAAAATAAAGTAAAGCCATGGACAGAACTTGGTCTGTCAACTGTGAATCTATTGATGGAGATCCAACTATTTCTTTTATCAGAAAAAGTCTGAAAAGCAAACCTTAATTTGAAATAAGAGGCTTAAATCCTTTATAGAACAAGATGGAGAAACAACAAATAAGTCAAAATAATCTGAAATGACAGGATATGAGTACATACTCAAACGCATAATGGTAAATCTTTTGGGGTCATCTTTGCTTTAGACATGATAATCCCATACTCTCAATTGAGTTAAATCAGTAATCTGTCGCATTTCATCAAGGTTAATTAAAATTTGGGACCTGCTTCATTCAAGCTTCATATATGCTTTGTAGAGAATTCATAAAGGAGCATATAAGGCTAAATGTAAAACACAAGACTGTCATCATAATTGAATTAGTGGGCTTCCTATAAATTGTAACCTATGAAGTTTATTTTCTGTTAGAGTTAACTATGATTCCAATTACTGCTTTGTTATTGTACCTAAGTAAATTTTCCTTAATTCAGAAGCCCATTAAAATATTTATAAGCATTGAACTTCTTTAGTATTATATTAATATAAAACATTTTTGTATGTTTTGTTGTAATTACAAATACTGCTGTATAAGGTAATAAAACTGTGCACCTAATCCCCATAACTTCCAGTTTCATTTTCCAATTAATTATCAAGTCTGTTTTGGGAGACATTTTGAAGACATTTATTATGCAGCAGATGTTGACTAAAGGCTTGCTTGGTAGATATTCAGGAAATGTTCATTGAATAAATAAGTAAATACATTATTGAAAAGCAAATCTCTATACATGTGAAAATTTTATTTGTATTAGAAATAAAACATTAGTAGTTTAAGCAATTTTGCTGTTTCAGATATTTCCTGGAATGAAATATTTTTCTCACTGCCTTAGAAATACATTAGCTAGATAATTTTGTAACATGAGAAAATGGCCAGAGGCTCATATTTCCAACCCTTTGCAGGGGCTCCTTGTGACATTCAAAGTCATGCCTGGACAGGCAGCAGACTTTGACTTTTGTTGATTGTGTGTTTGCCATGAACACATGAATATCTGAGAAGCAATGGGGAGAAAAACAATGTCTTTAAAGCTCTGAATTTGAAATTCTCACACTACTTTACATTTTATTTTGGAAATTGTTAAGTCTTAAAGAATTTCCATAGTGTTTCTTCAAGTGTAGTTCTCAGATCAGCTGTAGTATCATCAACAGTAAATTCTGGGTACCTTCCCAGCTCCACCCAATTTGAATCTCTAAAGATAAGGCCCAGATACCTGTATTTTAAGTACCCCAAAATTATTATTTTCATTATTCATAGCCAAATTCTATCAGGTACATTCAGTTTGAGAAAACCTGACTTGTGCTGGTCAGTCTGCCACTGCCAATGATGCCAATGTGGATAAGCTGTTTCGCCTCTTCAGACCTCAGTGTCACTCTAACAATGAGGGAGTTAAACTTTATAAACCAAGGTCCATTGCAGCCTTGAAATATGATTCAAGTTTTCACATGTGTCTTTATATAGCTATCCCTGATCCACTAATGGGGTGTTACAATGCCTGCTTACATAAGACAGCTGGGAGGAAGGAGGAATTTACTGAATGTGTCTGAAATTTCATTGTTTAGAAGTTGGAATTTTATGCCTGTATCTATGTTCATGCCTTTGTAAAACCCACTGATTTTAAAAGTGAAAATGGACTTTTTTCTCTGGTGTTACTCTAAACACCAAACAATCCCTGCAAAGGGATTATTCTGATGTTTCTTTATTTCACATGAAAAGTTAATTGTTGACTCTGGAACTTAGATAATATTTTTGACAATATTGAAGAGTGAGTTTTAGTCCAGTAAAGATGTTTTAATGAGCTTGAAGGTAAAGTTTTGGTTAAGTTATGATTTTCACAGGAAGTTACATACTGAATGAAATATAATGTTTGTACTTTTGGTAATGTGCTACTCAGTTCTTAACTCTTTTTTATCCAGATATAAAAGCCCAGTCTTTAGCAATGGGATTTAATAAATTTCCAATATGTGTTTTTATTTGTTTAATTTCTAGTAAATGAGCAATATTTTAGAAACAGTATCAGTCTTTACTGAGAGATGATCTTGCTGAGTGCAATCCAGAGAAATACATAAAAAATTCCAAGTGTGAGGCGTTGATGTTTAATAAGTTTCTGAAAGTAAGAATCTGAATTTTAATTGTAGGTTTCTAAGTTATATAATTTAGTTGTGTTTCAAAAAATCCACTAATAAAATATCAGCTTTATAAAAACAGAAACCTTGACTTTATTTTCACCTCTGAAACCATTAGCACTTAGCACATAATAGATGCTCAATAATTTATTTTAAAACAATTGCTGAGTGAGCTGCATCACAAAGAAGGTAGCAAAGACTGTTGATCACAAATAAACTATTGTGTAAGAAAAGTTTAGAAACAACTAAATTTGTTAATTCAAGATGGATTAGAGACTTAAATGTTAGACTTAAAACCATAATAACCCTAGAAGAAAACCTAGGCAATACCATTCAGGACATAGGCATGGGCGAGGACTTCATGTCTAAAACACCAAAAGCAATGGCAACAAAAGCCAAACTTGACAAATAGGATCTAATTAAACTAAAGAGCTTCTGCACAGGAAAAGAAACTACCATCAGAGTGAACAGGTAACCTACAGAATGGGAGAAAATTTTTGCAATCTACTCATCTGACAAAGGGCTACTATCCAGAACCTACAAAGAACTCAAACAAATTTACAAGAAAAAACAAACTACCCCATCAAAAAGTGGGCAAAGGATATAACAGACACTTCTCAAAAGAAGACATTTATGCAGCCAACAGATGCATGAAAAAATGCTCATCATCACTAGCCATCAGAGAAATGCAAATCAAAACCACAATGGGATGCCATCTCACACCAGTTAGAATGGTGATCATTAAAAAGTCAGGAAAAAACAGGTGCTGGAGAGGATGTGGAGAAATAGGAACACTTTTACACTGTTGGTGGGACTGTAAAGTAGTTCAACCATTGTGGAAGACAGTGTGGCAATTCCTCAAGGATCTAGAACTAGAAATACCATTTGTCCCAGCCATCCCATTACTGGGTATATACCCAAAGGATTATAAATCATGCTGCTATAAAGACACATGCACACGTATGTTTATTGCAGCACTATTCGCAATAGCAAAGACTTGGAACCAACCCAAATGTCCATCAATGACAGACTGGATTAAGAAAATGTGGCACATATACACCATGGAATACTATGCAGCCATAAAAAAGGATGAGTTCATGTCCTTTGTAGGGACATGGATGCAGCTGGAAACCATCATTCTCAGCAAACTATTGCAAGAACAGAAAACCAAACACCGCATATTCTCTCTTACAGGTGGGAATTGAGCAATGAGAACACTTGGACACAGGAAGGGGAACATCACACACCGGGGCCTGTTGTGGGGTGGGGGGACAGGGGAGGGATAGCATTAGGAGATATACCTAATATAAATGACGAGTTAACAGGTGCAGCACACTAACATGGCACATGTATACATATGTAACAAACCTGCACATTGTACACATGTACCCTAGAACATAAAGTATAATAAAGAAAAGAAAATTTATAAATTAGTCAAAATTGTGATTTTTTTTTTGAGACGGAGTCTTGCTCTGTTGCCCAGGCTGGAGTGCAGTGGCATGATCTCGGCTCACTGCAACCTCAGCCTCCTGGGCTTAAGCAATTCTCCTGCCTCAGCCTCCCAAGTAGCTGGGATTTCAGGCACGCACCACCATACCTGGCTAATTTTTGTATTTTTAGTAGAGATGGGTTTCACCATTTTGACTAGGCTGGTCTTGAACTCCTGAGCTCAAGTGATCCACTCACCTTGGCCTTCCAAAGTGCTGGGGTTACAAGCATGAGCCACCGTACCCAGACAAAACTGCGATTTTTTAAAAAGAAAGATATTATCCCTTATATCCAGTTTAGACTAGATTATGGATAGTTTGTATTTATGCTGCTTGGATAATAACTGCACTATGGTAAGTGCTTAATAAATGTTTGTTGATAAATAAAGATAAAAAATTACACTGGCGAAACTTCACTGTTGTCCATAGTCAGGCTGAAATGCTCAGACTTCTTGCAGTGACTGCACTAACATTTGTTAAAAAAAAAAAAAAAAAAAAAAAAAAAAAAATCAAGGAAACAAAATTAAGAAAGAAATAAAAATGTATTTGGCAAAGGAAAGATTAAAAATGTGTTTAAAGTACTCTTCCCAGTAAAGTGTGCATGCCCCCTCCACACACACAAACACACACACACACAGATGGTCACTGCCTTTTAATAGATTTCCTGTGAAGTTTCAAAAGTAAAATTGCTTGAAACTTGAAAGTTGCTAAGAGTAGATTTTTAATGTTCTCACCCTCCAAAAATATAAATATGTTAGGTGATGGATATGCCAATTACCTTGATTTAATCATTTCACAATGTGTGTGCACATATATGTATATGCATATGTATATATGCATATATGTATTGCACATATATATATATACACACCACATTATACACCATAAATATATGTAATTTGTATATGTGAATTTTAAAACTTCCTTTTAAAAAGATGTGCTTCTCTGAGAGATGGGATTCTTAAGTTTCCAAGAAAAGAAAACGTTACTAAAGAAATCATAACAGACTGTTAATTTTTAAATTTGCCTAAATGAATAAAAGATAAATAGTAATTAAGCTTGAACTGCGGTACTTATTTTTCCCTAGATCATTCTTAGGTGGTACATGATGCCCAGAGGAAGTAAGTGGATCAGCATCTTTCACTGACGTTATTGAAATTTTTCTATAGTTTGGATGCCTTTCATTTACTATTCCTAGAAGTAGACATAAATTAAGGAATATCTATTTTAAAAGAAAGAAACTTAGTCCTCTTTAAGGTCTCTTTATTCCAAAGGGTTCTCAAACAAATGTTAGCTGGACCTGTCTTGTCCCACAATCTTACCTTGCAAATGTAAGGTAAGTGAGTTGTGTCAAAGGGATAATTTTCATCTTTCCTTATGAGGGGCCTGGGGAGGATGGAATTTGGATTTAGAAAGGAAGAACTAAGATGTATGTTCATTTGTGACTTTGAGTTTCTCCCTCATGTCTCTCTTTTCAAAAGTGAATTTCTTTGAGAAGTCATTAATTCTACCACCACTCCCCGCCATTCCTCCTACCTCTCAGAGGCCACAGATAGGGCTAAGTTGAGAATTCCATCAGCAAAGGCACAGAGCAGCTGGCCCTTTCCCTAAGACCCACCCTGCCATATACTGGAATAGAACACAGTTTAAAGCTGCTCGTTAGAGAGTCACCAGGCATCAAAAACATCCCAAAACAAAAAATTAGCTTGAAATACCTAACTTTGACTGCAGAGTAACTGTTGGTCTAGAAAGGCTTTCCATCTCCAGCAGCACCCAAATACTGCTGCTGCCCACCTTCCCCAAATCTGTGAAGATAGATAAACTCTGTTTCCTTGGCCTAATAAAATAAATCAAGTTTGAGAGTGAAAAAGGAGGAAGCAGAAACTTGCCCAAACTTTCTGTTCCTAGAATGTCCTTGGGAAAGCCACGGAGGCAAGAGACTCTCTTTGAGGTCACTCTTGTGAAAAATAGCTACTAATTTCCCTGCATGGAGTGCAGCCTGGAATTACACAATAGAGGTTTTGTGACTGTGAAATCCACTGTATTGCTCCAGGAATATAACTTCTAAGACAAGGCACCTCAGCCTGGGGCAAAGAGAGAGCGGAGCAGACTATCCATGCCTTCCAGAGTGGAGATTCTCAGCACTGAGGACAGCACGCACATTTG